GGTGTTTGAATCGTCACATGTTGAAACACACTGGCGAGAAGCCACACGGATGCACCCTTTGCCCGAAACGTTTCGAAGAAAAACGAAATCTCCTTGGTCACATGAAAGCTCACGTCCAAGAGTTTCTGTTCCATTGCTTGGGCTGCTTGCAAGGATTCGATGGAAAGGAAGAGAAGACGGAACACGAATCGAACTGCAAAATTCGTCGCTTCGAATGTCATTTGTGCAAGGAATCATTTGGATCGCAGAAAGCACACCTGGTGATCCACATGCGTGTACACAGTGGTGACAAACCGTTCGAATGTGAAGAATGCTTCAAGCAATTTACACTCAACAGCTCATTAAACAAACACATGAAGCTTCATGCCGGTCCACGTCCATTCCGCTGTTCAAAATGTCACGAAAGATTCTCAGATCAAGACGAAAGAGTTTCACATGAGGAGAAGTGTAATCGTCGTGTTTACGAATGTTATGTTTGTCGCAAATCATTTGGTTTGATGAAATCCAATTTGATTCGTCATATGCGCACTCACTCTGGAGAAACTCCGTTTCAGTGCGTAAAATGCTCAAAATCATTTTCTCAAAGAGATCATCTCAAGAAGCACATGTACACCCATACAATGAATCTTCCATTTGAATGTTTGATTTGTCACCGCGGTTTTCTAAAGAACGACAAACGGAAGGCACACCAACGAAACTGCAACAGACGCTACTACGAGTGTTACTCATGCAAGAAGTTCTACGGTTCATCCAACTCCAATTTGAAAGGTCATATGTACACACATTCAGGCGATAAGACGTTCCAATGCAAACTGTGTAAGCAAAATTTGACATCGAAGTCCAGTCCCACTAGAGACATAAATAGTATCAACAACAAGAATCGTTGATCATATCGATCGCATTGAATTCATTCTTTGTATGAAAAGTTATCAATTCATTTTCCTCAAATCGTCTAAATTTTTTTGTCATATCAAATGAGTTGAAGTCATACTACACAATCATGATTTTTGATTACTTGAGAACTTTCATTTGATTTTTTTTCATTCAAAACTTTAGTTTCCCAACAAAAACAAATCTGGAATTTCTTTTAGTTCATCAATGAAATTGTGAAAAAAAATTGATAATGAAATAAATAAAGTTGATAAATTCAAATCAGAGTTGTCATTTTCATATTTAGCGACATCTGGAATAGGTCAAGAGAACGCGTAACTTATTCGCTGAGTGTGGAGAATGGAGGAAAGTACGAAAAAAGAGGTTTGATTGAAACGTCACCACTGACACAAGCTTGTGAATCAAAGTTGCACTCACACAAGCACACTATTTTATCGCTTCATTGTGCACAAAGGCAGAACGACACATTCTTTTCGCTGTCATCGTCAAAAGAGACAACAAGTACTACTGCTCTGTCATTTGCGGCCATTCTCAATTTCACATAAAGCTAAAATATTTCTAGTGTTCAAATACGAATTATCAACAAACTTTCAAGTTGTTGTCATATTTTACACATAAATGTGATTTTCCACACATTTTTTCGAAGTGATTTATAGTTCAGAAAGTGCAAATCAATCAATACTTGCTGGGAAGACAACATTTCGGTGAAGTAAAATGGGGAACAAAAAGAAGTAAGTAATTTTCCATGACATTTCAGCTCAAAGCCAATGAAACTTTTTTTACTTTGATCTTGAAAAAACCAAATGAATTGGTGAACGTTTGATCTAGTCAATTTGTAAAAAAATGATATACCTTTGGTTCAATTTCACATTGAATTTTTTTTTCGTTAAAAAGAGTCATGCTATGGATGATTCAAGTCGAATGCGTTTCTTCACCGTGACATTCAAACAATTAGCCTCCTTTTCCTACTTGACAAGCGACTGCCTAGATTTTTTGTATCGATTAAATTCTATTGAGAAGATTGTCTCTTTGTTTTGTGATTCAAATCTGAATTTTTATCCATTGAATTCCAGGCGAGCTACTGAAGCAGCATTGAACCCAAGCCATCGTTCTAATTCACCATTCGAATCGACTGGATCAGAATTAGCAGTGGTCGAGGCTGACAATCAGTTGGATCATCCAGTTAAGGTTAAAGAGCCTCGCATCAAGGAAGAGCCGCAATCAGTCGGTGATTTGGTCGATGTTCCAGTTCCCGTTCCGACAAGGACTAACCGTGTTGTTGTACCTTCATTTGGTGTCGACCAACCGAACGGCAAATACGACTTTGACAGTCTTGGTTGGGATGATGCCAAAATTGAAGTGAAAGGAGAAACCGAAGTAAAGAAGGAAAAGGAATCGAAGACGAACGATGAATTAGGCGGTGATGCGATGGCAAATCAGCGTGATCTACAGCAGCCATCACGACCAGATGAAAACGTTTTCACGCAGCCAGGAAGTGGCCACGGTGCCAAGAACAAGGAATCGTGTGACAAAGTTGATGTTCCGAAAACTGTATTGAAGAAGCATAAATGCGACTTTTGTGAATATTCGACCAATTATAAAGGTCATTTGAATCAGCACTTGTTGAAACACACTGGTGAGAAGCCACACGGATGCACCCTTTGCCCGAAACGTTTCAAAGAAAAACGAAGTGTCCTTCGTCACATGAAAATACACGTCGAAGAGTTTCTGTTCCATTGCTCAGGCTGCTTGCAAGGATTCGATGGAAAGAAGGAGAAGACGGAACACGAATCGAACTGCAAAATTTGTCGCTACGAATGTCATTTGTGCAAGAAATCATTTGGATCGCAGAAAGCACACCTGGTGATGCACATGCGGGTACACAGTGGTGACAAACCGTTCGAATGTGAAAAATGCTTCAAGAAATTTGCACGCAACAGCGCATTAAAGAACCACATGAAGTTTCATGCTGGCCCACGGCCATTCCGTTGTTCAAAATGTCACGAGAGATTCGTACATCAAGACGAAAGAGATTTGCATGAGGAGCAGTGTAATCGTCGTGTTTACGAATGCTATGTTTGTGGTAAATTGTTTGGTTCGAAAAAATTCAATTTGATTACTCATATGCGCACTCACTCTGGTGAACGAAACTGCAACGGACGCTACTACGAGTGTTACTTGTGCAAGAAGTTGTTCCGTTCATCCAAGGACCAATTGAAAGGTCATATGCACACACATTCAGGCGAGAAACCATTCCGCTGCGACCTGTGTTGCAATACATTTACACGGAAATCGAGTTTCAACAGGCACATGAAAAACAGTCACCGCAAATAATTCTGTACGTCGCGATTTGGTTACACTGATGTTCCCATGGGACAGTCAGACAACGTTTATTTCCATCGAATCAACTGCATTGAATGAACAAAAGAAAATTCTAATATTCCAAAAATAAGTTTTTCAACTACAGTAAATAAATTCAAAATAGTTTTTTTCATTATACAATCTCACAACAATACTATCGAATTCTATTACATTTCAGCTTTTTGGTCAAATCTGTTAAAATCTCATTCTCCGAACATTTCAACCTATAGCAAATAAATCTTACATTTTGACTTCAATAAACAATTTGTAAAACCAATTTGAAATTTCATTATTTCTAGCGACATCTCGATGAGTTGAATCAAAATCATTGACACTTCAATCGCCACACAGAAACTTCTAATACAAGCTCATGCTCACGAATCGATTTGCACTCACACAATCGCATGTGATACATTCACCGCTTCGTCGCTGATTGTGTGAATGAACATTCTTTTCTACGGTGAAATTCAAGGCGAAAGCACGTTTCACAGCCACGCTTCTGCTGGCTAAGCAACTTTCCATTTGCAAGCCAACAAAGTACATTTCGATTCAACGCAAACAGAATTGGACTTTTTTCTTGCTGTTATTAATAATACCTTTTTGATCACTTTTGAAGTAAATAATCGCATTGTAACACACCATCGAAAGTCGACCGGAATCATAAAACCGTTGGGGAAAAATGGACGATGAAAAGAAGTAAGTACATTTTGATGTTCCAATGGCAAGTAGCGAGTGCTGGTGACTTCAATACTAGATTGAATTGAACAAACAAAATAAAATCGTGTTTATTGAAACGTTATTTTCATAACTCATAATTTGCTCACTTGAATCATGCATTTCAATTGTTTAGAATATATTTGGAAAACAAGAATTCAATAGATTATCAGATAAGATTTGTAAAGAGTTCCTTTCGTGCCGTCAAACCTAAGCTCAAACTAGAGCTCAAACATTTTCTTTGCTGCATCTAAAATATCAATTCTTTTCATTGATTCTCAAACAATCGACGAAAATTGGAGTGAAGAAAGAATGCAGCTCTAATGACCCAATGGAATCGAATGGCCGGATGGCGCCTGTGACTCCGAGCAACATTCAGTCGGCTGATTCATTCGAGATCAAACGGAAAAGCGACATCAAACAGGAGCCAGTGTCTGTTGGTGAATTGGTTGACGTTTCGGTTTCGACTCATCGCAATGCGGTACGTATTCCTGGTTTCAACGAACGTGACGCTGAATACGATTTCGATGACTTGAGCTGGGACGAGGCTAAGGCCGAGGTGAAGAACGAATGTGACAAAAAGAAAGAAGAGAAGGCGAAGACAAGTGCTGACAACGGAAAGCAAGCGATGGGTGACCAACAAGATCAACAGCCGCCTTCACAGAATAGGAAAGATTTGCGCCCGCCAGAAAATGGCAATGAGGCACACAACAGACAGCAACGAGGCGGTAATGCTTATGGAAACACATCAAAGCCACACAAGTGTGAGTTTTGTGAATATTCCGCTCAATATAAGTGGTGTTTGAATCGTCACATGTTGAAACACACTGGCGAGAAGCCACACGGATGCACCCTTTGCCCGAAACGTTTCGAAGAAAAACGAAATCTCCTTGGTCACATGAAAGCTCACGTCCAAGAGTTTCTGTTCCATTGCTTGGGCTGCTTGCAAGGATTCGATGGAAAGGAAGAGAAGACGGAACACGAATCGAACTGCAAAATTCGTCGCTTCGAATGTCATTTGTGCAAGGAATCATTTGGATCGCAGAAAGCACACCTGGTGATCCACATGCGTGTACACAGTGGTGACAAACCGTTCGAATGTGAAGAATGCTTCAAGCAATTTACACTCAACAGCTCATTAAACAAACACATGAAGCTTCATGCCGGTCCACGTCCATTCCGCTGTTCAAAATGTCACGAAAGATTCTCAGATCAAGACGAAAGAGTTTCACATGAGGAGAAGTGTAATCGTCGTGTTTACGAATGTTATGTTTGTCGCAAATCATTTGGTTTGATGAAATCCAATTTGATTCGTCATATGCGCACTCACTCTGGAGAAACTCCGTTTCAGTGCGTAAAATGCTCAAAATCATTTTCTCAAAGAGATCATCTCAAGAAGCACATGTACACCCATACAATGAATCTTCCATT